AACTATATATATATATATATATATATATATATATATATATATATATATATATATATGTGTGTGTGTGTGTGTGTGTGTGTGAAGGAAGGTGAGAGACAAGGTAAAAATGTGCAAGAGAGGAAATGGATAAAAATTGGAAAACTTTATGATGGGTCACGTGACAAAAATATAAGACTTTCCCAAAGAAGAAGAGGGAGGTATAGTAAGAGTAAAAGAATGCTAAATAAAAAAAAAAGAGAGAGGAAAATAAGTTCAAAAAGAAAGTTATATAAAAGCGAAGAAGTCAAGAAAGACTATAAGGGAAATGAAAAGAAAGGGAGAGAGAGAGAGAGAGGGGAAGGATGTAAAACGGAGATAAAGATAGAGTTAAATTCAAAGTGTGAAGATAGAGAAGAGAAAGAAAAGACACCATAGGATAGTAAGAGAAAGAAGAAAGAAAATCAGAAAGAAAAGAGGGAGTAGGAATGTAAGAGAAAGAAGAAATGGAAAGAGAAGAGCAGATATGGAGGTAGGAGAAAATAAAGCAGAAAGAAAAGAGAGAATAGGAAGGAAAGAGAAAGAAGAAATAAAAAGAGAAGAGCAGATATGGAAGTGGGAGAAAAAAAGGCAGAAAGAAAAGAGAGAGTAGGGAAGTAAAAATAAAATGAGTAAAATAAAAATTAAGAAAATATTAAAAAAGCAGAGAGAAAGAAAAATGCATATAAAAGAGCGATTAGGATTGTATGAGAAGGAAAAAGAAAAACAGTTGAAGAAAGAATGAAAATAAAAGATTAGAAATAAGGAGAGAAAAAGAAAGAAAAGAGAGAATAGGAGAGTAAACAAAAGAAAGAACAAGAAATGAATAAGCAGTTAAACAGAGAAAAGGATTGGGAAAAAGAGTGTGGATAGAGTAAGAGAGTAAAAAAAGAAAAGAGAGAAGGACAGTAGAAGAGAGACAGAGAAAGAAAGTGTTAAAATAAAGAGTGGAGATGGAGTGGAGGTGTTTTAGAAGCATTGGTATATTAAAATAATAAAGAGAGAATAAAAACAGACTGAGAGAAAGTGCAAGGAAGAAAAGACTATGGAAGAAAGAAAATGGATAAATGAAAAGAAAAAGAACTAAAAACAAAAGAAGTTAAATAGAGAAAATGAGAATTACATAGAGAGAAAAAAGGAGAGAGATAAAAAAAATAGAAATGGGAAGTAGAGAGTGATATAGAAAAATAAAGAATTTCAAGTCAAAAAGAAAAAGAGAAGAAAGAAAGAGAACATAGAGTATTAAATGAAGAGAAAATAAGAAAGAAGAAGAAAGAAATAACAATGTTATAAATGGAGTGGAAGCTAGAAATGAAAATGGAAGAAAAAAAAAAGAGAGAGCCAAAGAATAAGAATAGAAGAAAGAAAGTGACAAAAAAAAGTGGGGGGGGGTCTCTTTATGAAGAAGCTGTGTTGTAAGATAAAGGAGAAAGACAGAAAGCAATAATATAGAGAGTAATCTACTAGAAAAGAAAGATCAAGGAAAAGATGGAGACAAAAAAGAATGACAGAGAGAAAAACAGACAAAAATAAAAACAATGGATTTCAGAATCAAAAGAGAAGTAAAGAGGAAAAATAAGACAAATTAGGGATGTAGTTCTGTTCTGATGTCTTGTTAATATTGCATAGTAGTTATTGATTGGTATCAGGGGTGGTGACAGTGCCATCAGTTGAAGTCTTGACTCCCTGGCTACTATTGCTAAAATTGTCATTGACTGTCACTCAGGGAGATACCACATTTGTTGAAGAACAGAGATATTTGTATTCTCAAACATTCCTTCTATTCCCAGCAAAGAGCTAGTATTTTTATTACCAATATACAAGGTGGTGCTGAAAAGTTCTTGGCCTGATTTAATTCCAAAAGTTTGACCACATGTCCAAACATCAGAAATTTTTTTTTTTTTCTAAATCTCTTCTTAGTTGAACAAAGAACCTTTCAGATCATTTCATATGTAGATACATCAATATGCTGACAAGGGGTTGCTGAAAATTTATTGGTCTGGACAATTTCTAAAAGTTTGACCAAATGACAAAACATCAGAATTTTTTAAAATCTCTTCTTAGTTGAGCCAAGAACCTTTCAGCTCTTTTCATATGGAGGTAGATCAATGTTGACAATAGGATTCTGAAAATTTATTGGTCTGACCCAATTCTAAAAATGTGACCTAATTAATAAATATCAGAATTTAAAAAAATATTTTCTTAGTCAAGCCAAAAACCTTTCAGCACCTTTCAAATGTAAATGCATTTGTGTATTGTGCGACCACCAAATTTTCACTTATAAAAATGATTTTATCATGTATCAAATGAGTTCCTTTTTTGAGAGACCAAATTACAATAGACTAACCTCTTTTCTGCTATCTCTTTAGCCCATCTTCTAGTCAAATAAGTTAAAAAAAGGTAAATGAGAATAATAAAAGTATTGTTAGTAATGCTACACTCATTGTATAAATGCATACAACCATAAAAAACTGAACAAGAAACAGCTACATATCTTATAAATGGAAACAATGCAATATGCATATTTACTATGCTTGTAATTTATAATACAATACTAATATGTGAATATTACATGCATTATTATTGGATACAGTTAAGTAAAACATCAGTTTTCTCAAAATCATGTTTATTTTAAATACAGCTGTACTTTTTGACAATAGTAAATGGAAGCACAGTGGAGTAATGGATAACTGCTCTGATCGAGGAATTGGAGAGCTGAGTTTGAATTCCACTCAAACCATTACATTCACTTACATGCTAATACCCTTGAGAAAGGTATGAATCTGCTTCTTCTCCCCTGAGTTATTGGTAAATAGCAGAACAGACCAGGTTCTATAGCCTTGGATGGCCACTGGTCTACTGCAAATGGAAATGACAACCTACTGTGGGGAAAAAATATGCTTTATCAGTCATGTATGATTACCTAAGCGTGTATCATGCATAGCACATAACTGACTGAAATGGATATGGTGTAGTCAGGGCCAGCAGTACATATGCATATTTTATATATCATTTATAATGCCACTCCTTTAAAATTAACTTCAAAATTAGGTCATCAAAAGTTGCAGGATACGCGAGTATATATGGTAATTTACACAATAAATATTTATTTTTCAGTTACCTTGTTGATGCACTTAATTTAGTTTTGAGTATTAATCATATAGATTAAAAGTTATACCGTGTATATTTCAGATAATAACTATGTTTCAGATTATGGATTTATTGCTCCACATATGTAATAAAAAAAATGCAGCTGAGGAAACATCTACCGTCAGCCACAAAATCATGTTTTCATTTGTAATATCAGGTTCAAGATTTCCATAATGAGTGCTGGAAAAAATTGTTTTTGAATGTTTAGTAGTTTTTAAAAGTCAAAATGAGAGTAGTTGAAGGAGAGTTGAAAGGAAAAGAGTAAGAAATATCTGTATAGAGAGAGGGGAATTGAGAAGAGAAGAGGGGAAATAGAGGGGAAGATCAAAGCTGAGGAAAACAAATAAGTTCTTCTATGTGCTGTGTCTCTTCATGGCTTAAGTGATCATGGCTCTCCCAATCTTCCTATGTGCAATTAGTAGCAATCTAGTACTATCCCTTCAACTCCTTTTTTACTATCCCTCCAAAATTTTCATTAAAAAGTTTGCTCTTTCCCTCATTCCTATTTCAATAAAAGCTCATCAAATTTGAAAACATTACTTGCTCTTTCCTTCCTGTTCCTCTTTTCTGAAGCAATATCTGTCTATATTTCTGAGATGAGGATTATGTACACTAAATTTGGACTATTGTCCTCATCTTTGTTGCCAATTTATTAAATGTTTTGGTCTTTCAGTATCTAAATATTTTGAGAATGAGGTAAGCAACAGTAAACTATTTACTTATTTGGACTATTGTCCTCATCTTTGTTTTATTTTTTACAATGTTTTGGTCTTTCAGTATTGTCTATATTTCTGAGATGAGGTATTATGTACACTATTTACATTATTTGGACTATTGTCCTCATCTTTGTTATACATATTTATTACAACATTTTGGCTGTTGTACCTCCAGCCTTCTTCAGGTGGTTGAAATGTTGAACTGAACCCTTATTTCGCTCACTGTGTCATGTGTTCTCAGGTTAGTTAGATCCAGTGACAGGGCCCAAAGAGTGTGAGTTCAATACCCGGTTAAGGCTGTGGAGAACTTTGAGAGGGGAATTAGCCAGATATAACTGACAACTGGCATCCATTAAAACATGGCACATGGAACTAGAACAGTCTGAGTGAAATAAAGGGTTCAGTTCGACATTCCAATGACCTGAAGAAGGCCGGAGTGTACAACGGCTGAAACATTGTAATAAATATGGCGACAAAGATGAGGACAATAGTCCAAATAATGTAAATAATGTCAACAGAAATGTGGTTCAACAGAAGAATGTTTGGGATTACCATGGACTGAACAGGAGAGCAATAATAAAGTTTTGGAGAAAATGGAAACTAAAAGGAGACTTAACATCTGGAAGAGACAGTTGAAATTTCTTGGGAACATAATGAGGAAAGAAGGCTTAGAAAATCTGATACTCACAGGGCAGATTGAAGGCAAGCAAGACAAAAAGAGAGGAAAATAATGCATAACATACTTATTGAGTTTGAGTAAATAACTGGTAGAACAGGGTTTAGGAGAAATAACGAAAAAATTTATTAAGAGCTACAAAGGAGAGGAAATTGTGAAGAGCCATGACTGCAAATGAGAGGACATAACACATAAAGAAGAAAACTTATTTAATTTTGACATCTCCATTTCATAATTCATATCTTGAGCTTTTTCTCTTGCTGACAACCATATATTCAGTCGTGTTAAAATTGATGGTTAGTTCTTTCTTCCTACCTTCCTTTACTACTTTGTCTAAAAGATCTTGCAGTTTTCCTTTTGTGACTGTTGTCAACACAATGTCATCTGCACATCTTCTATTGTCAAGATTACAATAACATGAAAACTAAAGGAAGTAAAACTAATTAAGGGCAAATAGAAGAAGCAAGGAGAGAGACTGAATGAAAGGGAGTAAAAAGAAAGTGAAAGTAAGAAAAGACCGTTGAAGAAAAAAAAAATGGATAAATGAAAAGAAAAAGAATTAATGAGAAGAGTAGTTTAATAGAGAAAGTGAGAATTAGATAGAAAGAAAGAGGGAGAGAGATAAAGAAAAATAGAAAAGGAAAGGTAACAAGAATTAAAGATAAAACAGGGTGAGAAGAAATGAGCAGAGATGGAGTGGAGAGAAAAGATAGAAAGGAAAGAGAGAGTTGGATAGCCAAAGAAAGAGTGAGAAAAGAAAAGATAGAATAAAATAAAAGAGAAGAACAAAAAGCAGACATTGAGAGAGAAAGAAAAATAGAAATAAATAGTGAAGAGAACAATAAGAGAAAGAAAGAGAGAGAGAGTAAGAAACAGTAAAAGAGAGATAAAGAGAAAAGAAAAAATAATGCAAAAAGACTGAAAATAGTAAATAGTGGGGTTGTAAAAGAAAGACTGGAAAAAGGAGAAGTAATAATAGTGATAAAGAAAAAACAAGGAGAAAAGAGGAGAGAGAAAGAATGAAAAGAGAGAGTAAGATGGTAAAAGAAAGAGAAAATATAAATAAACTAGAAAGAATGAGCAAGAAAAAAGAGCAGACGTGGAGGAGAGAGGAAGAAAGATAGAGTATGCCAGTAACAGAAAGAAATAATGAGAAAAGAGAGTAAAATAAAGATGATGAAAGAGGAAGTAAAAAGATGAAGAAAAAAGAAAGAAAAACAGGAAACAGTTGGATTATAAAAGAAAGAGTGAGAAAAAAGGATAAAATACAGATAAAGAAAGAGTAACAAGGAAAGAGAAGAGAATGAGGAAAAAGAAAGAAAATAGAGAGTATAATAGTCAAAGAAAGAATGGAAAAAATAAAGACAAAGAAAGACAAAGAAGAGGAGAGAGAAAGAATAGAGAGTAGGACATTAAAAAAAAGAGTATTAACATATGTCATGTATTTAGAGATTCTTGATAAAATACAAAGAAGAATCTGCAATATTATTGATCTTGACATGGCATCTTCCTTTCTATTACTTTTCAACTTCTATAACATAGCTTCTTTGTACATTTTCTATAAATATTTTCATCCTTATTGTTTTAATAAGCTTTCCTTTTTGGTACATAGACTTTACAAATTGAAGTGAAGTACTAGATTGGTTGCAAAATCTCATCATTTTGCAACTTCATTGGTTAGAGTTAACAATGAGTTTTATAGTAATAGTGTCTTTTCTCACCTTTTTGCTAGTGGAACTCTTTTCTGGGTTCTTACTTTCCAGTCAACTTTGATCTTCAAAAATTTAAATGCAATGTCAATCATTGTCTTCTGTCTTTTAAATTCCTGTTTTTTTATTGTTCTCTTTTATTAATAATGTTTTCTTTTTGTTATATTCACTCACACTTAGTAACCTCTTGTGAAACTGCTGCCATTTGGAAGACAAATAAAAAAAACAATCTTGCAATCATCATTTACTCTTGTACACTACTCTGTTAATTAGCAAAGAACAGACTTTAGATATGAGGAAAAAATAAACACTACCTACCTGAATGGCTTTAAGGATAAAAATGTTCGTTTAAGTCCCAGGGTCAAATAGTGCAAATATATACATCAGCTCTCAGTGTAGATGCAAATTGGCATCATAAAAGGGAAGTTATGATTAAGCATAGAGAAATTCTTGGAAAATGAGAACAACGTATCCCTGTGGATCTTCAAGATTTTCAGAAGGTTAATCAATGTGAAAGACAACTGAAAAAGGTGAAGGAGTACATTGGCTGAAAGACAAAGATAAAGACAACAAAGACATTGATGCAAAAGAAAATCTCTATGAAAATGAAAGCCAGTGTCAGTTGTCCTTTTTATGCATAAAATATGTCACACTATATTTTTGTTCATATTTAAGATTGTAAACCAGATACAACACTGATGAAGGTAGGATGAAAAGTTCATAGGCTGACTATGAAGAAGTGATGCCAGAGCTGTTAAATCATTCATGCAAGAATTTCAACTCTTCATATTAATAATTGCATTGTTTATTCACAGGAAACTGATAGCTGATGTTCAAAGATGGCTGAAATATGTTCAAACTGATATGAAGAATAAAAATTGATTTTGCATCTATTTGTGTATCAAGAGAAAAAATTAATTTCTGTAATTAAAAATCTTCCATAAATAAAGTAACCATTATAAAAAATAGAATTTAATGAAAAATTATTTAATTTAATAATTACCGAATTGGATTTTGAAAAAAAAATATTGCTTACATTTTACTTAAAATATAGTGTAAGATACATTTATTTATAGTTTGTGTCTGCTACCTGTCAATTTATTTCAAAGGTTAAGTGGGTACTGAATTAGTTTTTTATACATATGTGATAAAAGTTTGCTTTAATTTGTGCCTCAGGGGACAGCTGATGTATATGAGTGTCTGAAAATGATAAAGTCTTATAACATTCACAATAAGAAAAGCATGTCCTCAAAATTAAAAGATGTCATATGACCAATGGCACTTAGTGATGAATTTAAAAGAATATTTGTTATTTAATATGCTTTTTATAGCAGTGAGTTGTCTTCAAAAGTCAAATAGGAATTTTTTAACCATAAACCAGTACTAGTTAAAAAAAAGGTGTTAGACAATAATGAAAAAAAATCATGAAGAAAAGAGAAGAATCAAACTAAAAAATTCAAGTGAAAAAAAGAATAAAAATGAAAATTAGAGGGAAAAGGAAGAAAGTATTGAAAAACAGTTATATCTAGAATATGTTCAACCATTTTTAACATCTTCAGAACTGGTTGTGTGGCCTCGGTGTAGCCTAGAAACCATCCACATGTGATATTAATGTGGACATAGGGACTGAAATTCTCCTGCTGGCAGTGTGATGCCATTGAGTGTAACTGTGTACTGTTCATCATATTCATATTATCCGAGTGAGTCATTCACCAAAGCCTCCTTTAAATTTTAACAAAACACTGAATCACCCAGATTAGTCAGCTCCCTACCATCTAAAGTCCATATTTAGTTAACTGTGACTTCTGGCTCTTGTTGTTGAAAAGGATATGAGTACAGACCATGGACAAGTTCAAGGAGAATGTGATGAGGCAGCTGGTGGAATATCTCAAGCTTGTTGAGATATAGACTGAGGAATATTTTAGCCACTGTACATTCTGGCCTTCTTCAGGTGATTGGAATTTTGAACTGAACCTTTTATTTCATCCACCAGGGTAGATTGTCCTGAAAGACTCATGGGCCAGTGGATAAAGATGTTTAGATCCAGTGACTAGACCCAAAGAGTTGTGTGTTCAGTACCAGGCCACAACAGTGGTGAACCAAAACATGGAGAGTTGAGTTAAAGGGAAATAACCGAGACATACAGAAAAGGCATGGCACGTGGAACTAGAACAATCTACTCTGGTGGATGAAATAAAGGTTTCGGTTTGAAATTCCAATCACCTGGAGAAGTCTGGAGTGTACAACGGCCAAAACATTGTGAATATGGCAATGAAGATGAGGATAACAGTCTGAATAATATAAATAATGTAAGTAACAAATATTTAAGTAAATGTATATAATAAATCAAGAAAAATATACCATATAAACAGAAAATATTATCTGATTGATGTTTGTTTAGCTGGGTTTTGATCCTAGCTAGTGGCAACTGGACATTTAGCCACACTGATGAGCTGTGATACAGCAAAACAGTCTGTCTGTGGATGACAATATATGCTCCTGAAAAATTATTTTTGGTTGAGCTCTCTGGTGTGAGTTTGTAAACAGTGGCTATTACTGCTACTAATGCAATACTATTCAATAAAACGATAGTCACTGGCGTATTTATCTAAAAATAAATATACTTAAATTCACCTTCATCCCTGCTGTGTGCCAATGGCTTAGGGGTAGATTCTCTGACTGATGTTAGTTCAGTTGGGTTTCAATCTTAGCTAGAGGCAATTGGACATCTCGCCACACTGATGAGCTGTGATACAGCAAAACAGTCTGTCTGTGGATGACTCTCTCTCTCTCTCTCTCTATATATATATATATATATATATATGTGTATAGCATAAATTTGATGCCACAGAACATATATATAGATTTAAAAATCATCAGAATATTTACCAACATATTCTCTCTGACAATGTGTTGGTCAAAAAGGATTTCTTGCAAAAGAAGAATGCTTTCCTGTATTTTTAAATCCCTATATAGAAGTGAATGATACACAAGTTTATTAGTGAAAGGGTTTCAACAACTTGTGCAATATTCATCCATTGCTCTAGCAAATTTAATTCTAATTATCTCTGACAAACAGTGAACAAACTAAAAAAAATATACACAGATTTTTTTTTTCAGTTGACAATTTCTTTTAATGACAGTGTGATAAGGCACATTAGTTGAACTTTATTAAGATTTATTTATACAAGAAATACATCTGAAAATTTCACAATTTTTCCTATTTGAAATTTCTGATGAACCTTAATGATTGAGTTAATGACTGAATAAGCTTCTTGTGGGTTCCACAACATTAAAACAGCCATGGAAATTTCCCTAGAGCCTCGTCAAATATCTGACCTTAACAACTTTAAGAAAATAGTGCAATGACAATCATAAATATGAATGCACCTCATTATTTAATGATGTGTGAGAGTACAAATGAAAAGATTCTCAAAATTAACAAAATATTGCAATAAAAATCATATATTCATATATATATATATATATACACGAACACATACACACACACATATATAAATACACACACGCATATATACACCACACACATATATATATACATACATACACACACACATATACATACACACACACACACATATATATACATACACACATACACAAATATATATACATACACACACATACACAAATATATATATATATATATATATATATATATATATATATATATATATATACAGTGACATGCATAAGTATTGGATACATGATATTTTCTTTATAATTCTAGTTTATGTTCACGATTTTGCCTGATATTTGGTAAGTAATATCTTGTAAAGTTGTTTTGGTTGTATGTGGAAGGAAAATTAGAAAATCATGGTTGAATCCATTTTTTTTATCAAAGTTCAAAATTACCCTTAAGTTGAAATTTAAATTACTATTATATTTTCCAGTCTTCATCAGGTGCTTGTTGATCGAGGAAACCATTACAGAATTTTGAACTGAACCCTTCATTTAATCTATGAACAAGAAAGATAGATTAAATAAAGTGTTAATTTCAAAATTCCCTGAAGGTTAGTTACCTGAATCAACAAGCATATGATGAAAACTGGGAGTCACAACAGTTGAAACATAATAACATCTGATGAAAACTGGAAGTCACAACAGTTGAAACATAATAACATCTGATGAAAACTGGAAGTCACAGCAGTTGAAACATAATAACATCTGATGAAAACTGAAGTCAACATCTGATAAAAACATCTGATAAAACTGGAAGTCACAACAGTTGAAACATAATAACATCTGATAAAACTGAAACTAATAACATCTGGTGAAAACTGGAAGTCACAGCAGTTGAAACATAATAACATAAAAAACTGGGAGTCACAACAGTGGAGATATAATAACATCTGGTGAAAACTGGAAGTCACAGCAGTTGAAACATAATAACATCTGATGAAAACTGGGAGTCACAACAGTTGAGATATAATAACATCTGGTGAAAACTAGAAGTCACAACAGTTGAAACATAATAACAAAAAAAAATAAGGACAATAGGCACAGCTGTTTGGGGTTTCCTATAGCTCCACTGAACTTAAAGTCAATTCAGATTTGCTATGGTAAAATTTTTCTATCCCAAGTAAAAATCATCACAAAAATGGCAAAAGTCATTTTGTCACAGCTTATTTTCTCTCAAATGTATTTTCATACTTTTATAGGGGTAAAATATTGAAAAATGATTGTTTTATCATCATCTAAACAAATATCA